GCAAAATTTAGAAAAATTCTACCAAGGAACGTGGCGTTTATGTGATATAATTACTGGCGATGAGTCCTGGTTCTATCACAAACAAGTCGGTCGAAAGGTATCGAACAAAGCAGGGGTGAGTATAGGAGATCCTCCACCTGCTGTTGTTCGAGGAAGTCGGTTCGCATCAAAAACCTTGTTTTCGATCTTTTTCAAATCGATCGGACCTATGTTAATCCGTCGCATCGAACGTGGTCAGACTGTTGACCATCATTATTACATCCACCAGTGTTTACGACCTCTGATCGACGAGATCAAATGTCAAAGACCTGCGTATAGGACTCGTGGTATCAAAATTCATCATGACAACGGTAGACCACATGTGCATAAAGATGTATCCGATTATCTTGAATCTGAAGACCTTACAATAATACCGCATCCACCTAATTCTCCAGATTTATCACCTTGTGACCTCTGGTTATTCGACTTGATCAAAAATAATCTGACTGATCAAGATGATTCAGAATCATTGCATGATGCTGTGACCGATTTCATGCACTCCTTAAATCGCGACGAGTACAAAAAGACCTTCGAGAAATGGATCGAAAGAATGCAGCTGTGTGTAGATAATCATGGTGATTATTTTGAACATTTAGTGAAATAATCACTAAATTCATTTCTGTTTTTTGTTTTCTTTTGCTTTTCATTGCTTTCGTTACACAGTAAAACATGTGGAATCAGGTTGTAAGAAATGATAAGAAGAAGAAAATGAAATAAAAGAAAGAAGAAGAACACAGAAAAAATGAAAAAGAATGATGTATGGACGAAAATATCAGCGACTGCTACCAGGGAGTTGTACGCAAAAAACTTTTTCTCGAAATTTCGCTAACTTAGTAGAAGGCGAGGAATGATCAAATAGCATAGAAAAATAGAGCGAAACACGCTCTATCTATTGGTAAAGAAAGAAACGTTTTCAGGCCTCTGCTTGGGGAAATAAGGTACCTCCCTCATTACTTTTGGATTGCTCTACGTATTTTTATCGTATGCATATAATCAAATTCACAAAACTCAAGACACTGTTAGTTTATGTTAAGTTAACAGAAAATCTGTATAAAAAGTACATGTTTCTATCACATGAACATTTCAATCAAAATTATTTACAATAAAACAGAGAGAAATGAACCATAAAGAACAAACATAGAAGATAGTTCGTTGCTTTGTCCGATGTTCTTGGTGTAGCGGTAAAATCAAGTACAAATTGAATTCAGCTAAAATCATTTAATTTTCTAAATTTCTTGACGATAATTCTGATACAGTTTTCCAAGCGGAGGTGATTATTCCAATAACTTGTTTTATTTATTATAAAAAATTATTAGGTAATATCCGAATTACAGAGTGCATTATCATGAGTTTCTTCAATGCCTATCAGAACTTTTGAACGAAGACTATGAAATATTACGATAATTATAGTTGCATTATACATAGAGTTGAGCAGTCAAGAATGATAGTCTGCGGGGATGCCAACGACTGACTGTGAGTTGTCTCTTGTGGTTCATTTTAAAAAATCTCAACAAAAACATTGAAAAACTCGAAATTTGCACAAATTACTCGTCATGGAAAGTGTTTTAGTTCTTCACATATGTGTTTTTGTGCAGAGATAGCTTTCAAAATAGAATTTAACAGGCAGTGATAAGTAATGATTAGATAGAATTCAGTTGGAGATCAAGTGAGTAGTAGCGATGATGAGCGTTACTGGTAGTTTGTTCAATATTCAAGTAGTCTACAGCTCATGTATTAATACAATACCCTACTCGTTATTGTAGTGAGAACTGTCATAGAAATTGAATGTCTTGAACAACGAAAACTTAGGGAAAGCTGAAACTTTTTATGGAAATACGTTACACAATGATCTTTATCAATTCGAACATCAGAATATCACTACTACTTTTATGCAATGACTTTCGCGTCGCTCTTTTCTTACTTATTCGTGGATATTCAGCAGCTTTTGGTAATCAGAAAGCAGGTCCTTAGCAGAGTTGGAATAACAATGATTTATGTTATTAGACTCAGTGTACCATCATTTGAAATTCCATTAAAAATATTTTATAGATAAAGAATTCAGAGAGTATGATCTTTCAAATAGTCAGATAGAGCACTCTTCCTACAAAGAAGTAACCGACAAATTATCAGCCTATCATAAGCAGTTCACTGTAATGTTGTTATAGATAAGCTTTCTTATTGGAAACGGGTTTTTACTTTCATGATTCAAGTTGGACATCTGAACTAAACAAAATTTTCTCTTCATTAATCTCCTATTTACGATAGAACTCTACCTCAAACTCAACAATGTTGACAAGATCTTTGCAGTATTTCTCATAAAAAAGAGTGAAGTCCTCACTTAATTATCATTTGTAAGCATTCTATAACTGTTGTATCCGATTCTATCAACACGCCACATATCGTATGATCGCTTGCTATACGTTTAACGTAAGTATGTTCTTTCAGTAGAGGGTTAGCGATGCTCACGTAGCGTGAATTGTTTTTCATATATATAAATTAAGTTTTTTATCTACAGAAAAGTATTAAAATGAGAAAATTGATTTTTATATAGAGGATTGTATTTGAAACGAATCAATTTATTTTTTTTAGTAACAATTGTTGATTTTTTTTTGGTGAGTGACGGAGAAGATAACTGCTCGCTTACATCGATCTTTATTCTCATCTGATGTAAGATATGTGATGGGTGGTATTACAAATGCTTTACTTTTCAATTGATGGTACAAGTGTTCGGAGATGATAACGTTTAGCCGGTGCTGAATGTTGACGTTGTCTTCGTTGAAGCGAAGCTAACCTTGTCGAATGAGATTAATGTCATCATCTGTTCCTTCGTTAACTAATAATCGAAGAATTTTGATTTGATCGATTATTAATTTATCTTTCCTTTCTTTAAATTGGTTATATGAGTTTATGTTTGCAATAATTTTCTTTAGTATTGCAACTGATGTTGTTTTTGTTATATATTTATTTTTCGTATTCAGTACCATAGTGAGACAGATATGCGAATGGTTTTTCTTTTAGTTGCCAATCGATTAGAATGAAGTAATAACTTAATATGGAATCTGTCTCAATTATCGAATATGTACTATAAAAATCATAGATGTTGACTTTTATATTGATTTTAGAGGGATTTCGTACTAAAAATATCAATATTGATAATATAGTTCTTTATTTATGATGTAGTTATTAAATAAAATTACATCTTTTTTGTTTTAATGACTGTTTACTTTTCAATATTGATTGTTTACCTAATTGTTTTTTGTTCGAACATGACTAATAAAAAATAATAAGAATAGTTTTCTATTTTTTTAATTAGAAAAAAAATTGTTATTTAACTAAGTATGCGTTTCGTTTGATTTTTTGTTAATAATTAGTTTTATTTTGATATTAAATTTTTACTCTGAGAGTAGTTCTTCATAAATGTATGTGTAACTTTGAAAAAGCTGATCTAGTATCAAGTAGCCTTTTCTAAAACGAAGGAAACTGTTCGTTGATAATCCAAATATTTTCTAATGCTTTTTTTGTATTTATCAATGATCTATACGAAAAGAATTTGTTTGGAAGTTTGGAAGTAAAGATATCTATTTATTAAACCAAATGATTTTTCCGTGAATTTTATATTAATTTGGTATAATGTAAAAAATAATACAAATATATAAAAGAAGAAGGAAAACAGTTTAAGTTGAATAATAATTTTATCTGATGATATTTGAACAAAAAGCAAGCAAAAGCTTTTTATGCAAATTTTATTGACGAACTATTACTCTTTTGTTTATGGTGATATTTTTTTAACTGTTTGTAATATGATGAAATTTATCTTGTGATTTATCCTTTTGTTCTAGATTAAGATATATGTATTAAAATAGATGCTGTCTACTATTGTTGACTTGACGGGTGTGGATGTAATTTTTGACTCACTCACATTCCACTCAAACTCGTAGCCACACTAAATATTCTTACAATTGCACAAGCACACACGTTACTGCCTTTATGTCTATTTTGACTGTTATCTTTCGCTTTGTGATTATGATGTCGCTTTCTTTCTGCCCTTATCATCTTGATATCATACCGCCTATATCAAGGATCTCTTAATATGTGTAAGTGGAAGAAAGCTTTGAAAGCAATGAGACATTTTCATTCAATTATATCGCTTCTCATATACTGTGTAGAAACTTTCTTGTCAGCGTGATGTTTGCTGTTTCAGATTTAACGAGTCTAAGGCGTAAAAGTCGTATTAATATCATCTTCCCAATCAAAGATCGAAAACGCGATGCGATGTGTTTATTATGAACAGGAATATTGTGAAACACGATTCATGATGCGTGCCGAATTGCCTAGTGAGAAAGCCAAACATTGACTCTGACACGTAAACTGTAACAGACAGAGAAACAGATTGGTTAAAGTTCTCTAACGACACTAATCATAAGAGAAATTTCGATAGGTCAGATCAACTCATCCTCCTACGTAGATCGAACGAAACAGTGCCTAAACAGTTACAAAAAACAATGACCTAAGACGGATTCGAGTTACTGTGTACGATTTGACGATGGAATACAGATCGTCAATCATTCGTTTATCGCCATTTATACCCGTAAAATGCACTATTTTGATTGACTTGAACTCAAAAATAATATGATCAATCTGAACAGAGCTCTCATTTACGATTGTAGCGAATCTATCGTGTTTAAAATTTCAACCTCGTAAGGTTTACGCTGAAAGCTTTTTTTATTTTCAGATAGAATTAGTGTACAACCTATTACTGAGTGATTGACGTCTCATTGTATCGTTACTTATTCAAACAAATGCTCGACATCTCCAGCGAAAATTCTGTTCGTTGCTTTGATGAACAAGTAAAGACGAGTGATCCAGTGTCGATTCGTTCACACTTTGGTCGCCTAATTCTACGAACTCACAAAGATTGTGACACTTCAAGTTTGATATCAATTTTTTGTGATTCCATCAACATGAAACATCTACCCTTTCTTCAACCACCGAAAGGTTGGGGCGATGGCGAAGAACGAAAGAAGAATAGACAATGGACAGAACAGGACATGATTGATAGAGTCAACTTACAAAAAGAGGCACGATCTCAAGGAAAGAGCTGTGTTTTCAATGTTATTTTATTAGCTTCTGCTACTATTAATGAAGAAGAAGATCGTTGTATTGGTGGAGTAGGCTTTGCAACAATCGATGGTGACACCGGCTATTTGGGTATTACTCTCGATCGAAGTGTAACTCGAAAAGGATACGCCACAGAAGCTCTGTATACGTCAATTGTTTTTGCATTCGAAAAATTAGGCATCGGTAAAATAGTAATACAAACTGATAATAATAATGAAGAAATGAGAGGATGGTGCGAAAAAACAGCTGAACTGAAGTTAATTGAGAAGAAAGAAGTACAAATCAATCAATACCATGTTACGCAATGCCAATATGAATTTACTGATCAGGAATGGGAAAACATCGTGAGGAAAAAATTGGAAACGAAATTGAATGGCATGTTTATGAGGGATCAGTCTCATTGAATAGTGTTGATTAATTGTGGTAACCAATGACTGCAAGTTCAAGTTTGCATACTTCTGTCTCTCTTAATATCAGACATTAAGTTGATTGATTCATATTTAACAAGAAGTTATTATTATTGTTTTGAAAGAACTGGATAAATTCTTGCAAGTGTTCATGTAACGTTTTAGCTACTGAATAATCAAGTAGAAGCTAAAAAAGAAACAACTATAATGATTAAATTCATGTACGGTGCATGTGTAAGAAAAATTCTGTTTTCTACTTTTCTACGCAGACAGATAAGCGGTAAAACGATGGTTTGATATATTGAACATGAAAATTGAAGGAAACCACGCTGTATAACTTGCTGACTTCTTGTATGAGAAAAGATGATCCGTTAAAACGCTTTTTTTCGATGTCAACTCGTTTTAATGCGTTGAGTAGATAAAATCGGTGATTGAGCTCGTTTTGACAAGTTTGGGTAGAGAAAGTGAAAAATGTCTAGTCACTCGTTGAATCTCCCCTACATGATCATGTCACTCAGATAGATGCGTTTTAACGTTGTTTTTCGTTTATATATCATGGTTATTTGATAAGTGGAATCATATTGAGTGTAATACAGAAAATAGAACTGCAACCACGCACTATTGATTGTAGTGAATATTCTGCTGTTCAGCGGTCACTCATATGTAATAAGATCGAATTACACCAGAAAATGTGTTCCTAATCTATGAAATTATCTAATCCAAAATTTACGCCAATGCGCTATCTGATAGACACTTATACACACAAGAAGTCACCCATGTCGCTCATTTTTTATGAATCTCGCCGGGATCCCGCGGGATTAACTTTTCTGTGCGGGAAGCCGCGGGATCTCGCCTATCTCGCAAAAAGTGACGGGATCCCGGCAAAATCATTTT